TGTCACGGCAGTTGGATCTGTGACCTATTTTTGTCACTCATTTCATTTAAATATTTCTGTGCTGAATTACATTCGTTTCATTTAGTAATAAATGGTCCTCATTTATTATCTGATACTCTCAGACTTGTTTGTCCACACTATATATTTCTCATTTGTGATCATCTCTCCAAAAAAAAAAAAAAAAAAAAAAAAAAAATAGGCAGTAAATGATTCGAAACTTTTTTGTACAAAAAAATCGGATCTATGTAGGCTATCTATCATTCCAATCATGCATTAAAACCCTTGAAAGTAAAAGATATCGTTATCGTTTTGGGCGTAACATGCAATACGCTAATCAGAGTGTCATCTCCCATTCCCTTTAAAGGCCACGTGCGCTTGTACCATGGCGCATTTTATTTCATAATGGCACATTATTAAATTGACTGATGAATGGCAGACTCAGAGCAGACAGGGGGACATGAGCAGAATTGTGGACGTGATATGAAAGCCGTCTCTAATCATGAAGCCTAATGTTACTCTGCAGCGCTGTGGATCAGCCAAGTGTCTGAACTACAGTGCAGACTGGAATCTGTTAACAGACAGACAGATGCTGTCGCCTCTGGATGCTCACTGCGCTGCATAATGATAAACTACCTACAATAAAGCGGTCATGGGTCACATTTCTCCCCAACAGCGGTATCTTTCCTTTTATTTGCTGGATGAGTTTTTCTTTAACGATTACTTTCAGGATTAGAGAGGCTGCTGTCAGTCATTTTAACCGTTGCCGTGTGCTAAAGTCACAGCAAATATCGTGACAGGACAGAGGGATCAGAATTCAACTTTGAGCTTCTGAAATAATTTAGATGTTAGGATGGAGCTCACGATCGATCAGAAGGACGGCTGCTTTACAACAAACAGTTTGATTGCGTGAACCTGGACTGTGTGTGAGACCTTTTGGATAGAACAGAGAACATGAATTAACATTAGATCCTGAGCGATCCTGTCGGCGTGTCGGGAGATTTTATTTATCAGTGATGTCGCGCTGCTGTGCCTTGTGCGTAAATCCTCTGACATTCAGAGTCATGCGCCCCTGGAGTAGCAGAAAGAGTGGCGCACTCGGGTAAGACTGACGGTAAGACACCTGCCTTTGGTGCGGGAGACCCGGGTTCGAATCTCTGTGAGACTCCCATGTGTGGCTACTGAGCAAGAAACTTAACCCTAGTTCCTCGTGGTATAGCTATGAAGTCTGCCAAATGAATCTAAAGTTAAAGACCAACATTCCCATGGGCGCACAGGATGGCACTATTCGCAAGATAGGGCCCTAAATGTTGAAACAGAGCCGCTGCCGCCACCACCACACTGAGCCGTTGTTGGGGATCAAGGTGGCAACGCAGCTTCAGGGAATGTTCGATTCCACGCGAGGGCAGGTGATTTCGAAAAATAACAATGTGATGGATGATGTTTCCAGCAGACAAACAAGTCAACAGTGTTGCAGCGGCAGGTGTGACTAGAAGACATGGGATTTAACTTATAGCCCACCTCATCAATCAGCATTTAAGTGACAAAGCTTCATATTTTATCGATATGTCGTGAGAATTCTTAAAACATCCATTTAACACAGCAGTATTAGCAGTTACCCAGAATTCCGAGGGGCATCCTCGGCAGATCAAAGCCCATCACTTCAAAAGTAAAGCCATTTCAAATGTGAAAACAGTGTCTGGCAAGTGACTTTCAGAGGGAGAGTGTGTCAGCCATGAGAATGGCCTGAAACGAAAAGTTGACACCGTGAGTGAGAAGGGGTGGAAGATGGAGGGGTATAAATACCGCTGGAGAATTGATTAATATTAGGTAGCGGTCTGGATGCCTCCTTGGCGCTTCGGTGATTGAACTAATGACACGGTTTCAGTGGGATGGGACCTTAGTATAGTCAATGAGCCCATACTGTCTGAAGCCGCTGTTGGCAGAGCATATTCCGATGCCAAGGGTGGTGCTAGACTGGGGAAGCTACCAATTTTTTTCACTTTGAAATAAAAATCATTTTTAAGACTTTGACATAGTGCAGATAATAGGCTACTTATAGCTCCCGTCTGTTTGAAGACTTCAAGCCTGTCCGGCAGTTGGATCTGTGACCTATTTTTGTCACTCATTTCATTTAAATATTTCTGTGCTTACATTCGTTTCATTTAGTAATAAATGGTCCTCATTTATTATCTGATACTCTCAGACTTGTTTGTCCACACTATATATTTCTCATTTGTGATCATCTCTCCAAAAAAAAAAAAAAAAAAAAAAAAAAAATAGGCAGTAAATGATTCGAAACTTTTTTACAAAAAATCGGATCTATGTACTTAATAGCTCCCGTCTGTTTGAAGACTTCAAGCGTCACGGCAGTTGGATCTGTGACCTATTTTGTCACTCATTTCATTTAAATATTTCTGTGCTGAATTACATTCGTTTCATTTAGTAATAAATGGTCCTCATTTATTATCTGATACTCTCAGACTTGTTTGTCCACACTATATATTTCTCATTTGTGATCATCTCTCCAAAAAAAAAAAAAAAAAAAAAAAAAAAATAGGCAGTAAATGATTCGAAACTTTTTTGTACAAAAAAATCGGATCTATAGGCTATCTATCATTCCAATCATGCATTAAAACCCTTGAAAGTAAAAGATATCGTTATCGTTTTGGGCGTAACATGCAATACGCTAATCAGAGTGTCATCTCCCATTCCCTTAAAGGCACGTGCGCTTGTACCATGGCGCATTTTATTTCATAATGGCACATTATTAAATTGACTGATGAATGGCAGACTCAGAGCAGACAGGGGGACATGAGAAGACGGCTGCTTTACAACAAACAGTTTGATTGCGTGAACCTGGACTGTGTGTGAGACCTTTTGGATAGAACAGAGAACATGAATTAACATTAGATCCTGAGCGATCCTGTTGGCGTGTCGGGAGATTTTATTTATCAGTGATGTCGCGCTGCTGTGCCTTGTGCGTAAATCCTCTGACATTCAGAGTCATGCGCCCCTGGAGTAGCAGAAAAGAGTGGCGCACTCGGGTAAGACTGACGGTAAGACACCTGCCTTTGGTGCGGGAGACCCGGGTTCGAATCCTCTGTGACACTCCCACCTGAGCAAGAAACTTAACCCCTAGTTCCTCGTGGTATAGCTATGAAGTCTGCCAAATGAATCTAAAGTTAAAGACCAACATTCCCATGGGCGCACAGGATGGCACTATTCGCAAGATAGGGCCCTAAATGTTGAAACAGAGCCGCTGCCGCCACCACCACACTGAGCCTTTTGTGGGGATCAAGGTGGCAACGCAGCTTCAGGGAATGTCGATTCCACGCGAGGGCAGGTGATTTCGAAAAATCAAAATGATAAACAATGTGATGGATGATGTTTCCAGCAGACAAAACAAGTCAACAGTGTTGCAGCGGCAGGTGGACTAGAAGATGGGATTTAACTTATAGCCCACCTCATCAATCAGCATTTTTTAAGTGACAAAGCTTCATATTTTCGATTCTTAAAACATCCATTAACACAGCAGTATTAGCAGTTACCCAGAATTCGAGGGGCATCCTCGGCAGATCAAAGCCCATCACTTCAAAAGTAAAGCCATTTCAAATGTGAAAACAGTGTCTGGCAAGTGACTTTCAGAGGGAGTGTGTCTGCCATGAGAATGGCTGAAACGAAAAGTGACACCGTGAGTGAGAAGGGGTGGAAGATGGAGGGGTATAAATACCGCTGGAGAATTGATTAATATTGGTAGCGGTCTAGATGCCTCCTTGGCGCTTCGGTGATTGAACTAATGACACGGTTTCAGTGGGATGGGACCTTAGTATAGTCAATGAGCCCATACTGTCTGAAGCCGCTGTTGGCAGAGCATATTCCGATGCCAAGGGTGGTGCTAGACTGGGGAAGCTACCAATTTTTTTCACTTGAAATAAAAATCATTTTTAAGACTTTGACATAGTGCAGATAATAGGCTACTTAATAGCTCCCGTCTGTTTGAAGACTTCAAGCCTGTCACGGCAGTTGGATCTGTGACCTATTTTTGTCACTCATTTCATTTAATATTTCTGTGCTGAATTACATTCGTTTCATTTAGTAATAAATGGTCCTCATTTATTATCTGATACTCTCAGACTTGTTTGTCCACACTATATATTTCTCATTTGTGATCATCTCTCCAAAAAAAAAAAAAAAAAAAAAAAAAAAATAGGCAGTAAATGATTCGAAACTTTTTTGTACAAAAAAATCGGATCTATGTAGGCTATCTCTCATTCCAATCATGCATTAAAACCCTTGAAAGTAAAAGATATCGTTATCGTTTTGGGCGTAACATGCAATACGCTAATCAGAGTGTCATCTCCCATTCCCTTTAAAGGCCACTGCGCTGTACCATGGCGCATTTTTATTATAATGGCACATTATAAATTGACTGATTGAATGGCAGACTCAGAGCAGACAGGGGGACATGAGAAGAACGGCTGCTTTACAACAAAC